AGGAGCTCCTGATTTGTGCCTCAACAGAAACCTTTTTGTGGTAAAGAGGAACGTTCTAGCAACTTTTATGCAAAGTCTTGACGAAAAAGAGAAACAGGTTCAGGATGTTTATTAGAAAATTTCGCAGCCTGCTACTGTACAGCATCTGTTAAGGGACTCTGAGCACTGTTCTGTTGACACAGTCTGGCTTCAACATACAAACATGCCCACCATGTCACAGCAAGCCACCAAGGTCTCCACTTTCTTATTATTGTAACGCTGCTCTGTCTGTTTTTTGACAAAGTTTGCTGAGAGCTTCTCAAATGCTGTTACAGTATGTGCCTGTTTGTTGTAAGGAGTTGTAGGTGCTGACCAGCTCTTGTTTTGTGAATTTTATGGGGGGCATCCAGAGAACTAGAAGAAAGTTTTAGAGAATTCTAAAATGAGCATGGGATTTACTGTATGCTAAGTACCAAAACACACCGCTACAGTGGTGCAAGATGTTCAGATCCTGAAGGTACAATAATGTAAAAATACTTTAGTACAAGTAATCAGTGTCACAGAGGTGAAAGTAAAAAGGTACTGTATTATCAGCAAAATGTATCTAACATATAAAAGGAGAAGTAGATGTTCTGCAGAAAATTGCCCCCTGTGACTGATATTTTATTTCATATATAACATTACTAGATGAATAATAATATTGGTAAGAAGCATTTAGAGTTATATCTGGTTGAGGTGGGGCTATTTTAACAAGTTTGCATGTTAATGGATACAAAAGATGGAAAAGTATTAGATAGTAATTGAAAACTCAATGCACCACATACTGTATATCTGCATGGCACTGGGCTCGAACCAATTTAACACACCCCAGGATTTCATTCATCCTCTTATCCAAACATGGCCTGTATATTGGGCCCACTCCTTTTTTGGTCAGCCAGCCCCTCATGTGAACACAAGTGTGACAGTGGGTCAGGGCAGAACCTCCTTGGCCACTCCAGGTGTTGTTTGCTCAAGGCAGACCGACGTGCTAAGCATGCAGGGCGTGCGGGACAGGCAGAGCTGAGATGGCAAGGAGGAGAGAAATTCCACAGATTTGCAGACAGCCATGAAAACCTGACTCCAAACTGCTGACCTCAGCAGTGCACAAACCATTCTTATCACAGGTTGACTGTCTGTGAGGCTGTGCCTTAAAGGCCTGACTGAGACTTGCAGTCAACAAGCATCGGAGCCAACAGGCGAGACTGTGACACATGGTGGTGGTCAGTTTGTTCCTTGACACAGACACAAACTGCACAATTGTCAATACTGAGCCTTTCAACCTCCTGATGGTCCTTTTCATTTTGATTTCCTTTTGATGTTTAAACTGGATGCAAATATTCTTTTGTTCACCATTTTCATACAGAGTAGTTCTGTTACTCTGTACTTGCTCCAATGAAGTGATATCACACTTATTTTAAAGCTGTGTTGATTGTCTGGGGCAACAAATGATATACTGTATTGTCAACTTATAAATTTGTTATGATGAATCTGTTAACAAATCACTTCAGATTTACACATCCAGCTTTAATGTGGAGTCATATGTCTGGCCATCTGCCATTTTAAGCTCTGATCTTCTGTGCACCAGCTCCAGATGGATATATTTGGATGTTTTGTTCCACTAACTCCACCAGGTCTTCATTAACTCTATGTGCTGCTTGGTGCTGAGCAGGCTGCCTGCTATGGGAGCAGGGAAAGTACACCAAAGCACTGAGGCGATGGCCCTGAAAAGCAAAGTTATTTGAAGTTTAAGTCATTGTTAATATAAAATATTATTTCAGTCATACATTTGAATCCAAAACATCTGTGGGTTTGAATAAAACATATTTCACCTTTATGATGCATCTGCAGAAGAGTGTGTGTGTAGTTCATCCAACTCTGACAGTGTAATAATCACCATTAGGCCAGTGTTTATATGAACAACATCCATCCATTAGACAGATACATGGATCAGCCATAACATTATGACCACTGACAGGTGACGTGTCTAACATTGATTATCATGTTACAGTGACACCTGTCAGTGTGTGGGGTGTATTAGGCAGCAAGTGAACATTCAGACCTCGAAGCTGATGTGTTGGAAACAGGAAAAATTGGCAAGTGTAAGGATCTGAGCAACTTTGATAAGGGCCAAACTGTGATGGCTGACGACTGGGTCAGAGCATCTCCTAGACCGCAGGTCTTACTGGTTGTCCCCGGTCTACAATGGTTAGTACCAACTAAATGTGATCTAAGGAAGGACAAACAGTGAACCAGTGACAGGGTCATGGACGCCCAAGGCTCACTGATGATAAGGATGATCCACTATAGATTAAACTTTTACATTTCATTCATCCTTTTCAAAAGATTCAATTTTATGTGAAACTTTGTTAAAATGGTTGAAAATGAAAAATACTGTACATTGGTCTCTATGAAAAGAAACATTCAGCAGCTTTAGTGGTGATATACATCCAGGCATTATCTATACCATTTATCCAGCAGAGGATTGCGGGACGGCTGGAGCCGATCCCAGCTGTCATTGGTCGAGAAGCGGGGTACACCCTGGGCAGGTCACCAGTCTATCACAGCTGTTAATAATTTCTAATTTGTCTCCATGACCACAGTTTTCACTCCTTTTAAATAAGTTTCTCACTGAGTGGTCGACACATTCATGCTCTTCCTGGCAGTGTAACTGTTGAAGCACATGGTTTTGCAGAAGATGCACAGTGAGCTGACACTAGTGCCAACCAACTGCTGCATTGACTCCTGTGTACACAGTATTAGGCAGGTGGTCATAATGGCTGATTGGTGTATAAACTTATCAAATTCAAGAGTAGATTAATAACAGTACAATCTAGTCATCCACTGATGCCAAGGTGTGCTGTTAAACAACCAAACAATCACAGAGAGAGTGGTTCTCCAGAGATGGGTTTTATTGTGAGTTTTATAGGAACAGATGGGATGTGTTCCACCCACAGAGATGATTCCCCTCCATAGCAGTAGCTCTGTAACTATTACAAGTGTTAAACTAACTCAGGTGTACAGTATATAAATCTGCACATATATAACCACTGACATACTGAAGTGTTGCTTGTTAATGCTCCCTGTGGTATGTGTAAAGTCTGAAATAGGAGCTTCATCATGGAAGCCAACTCAGTGCTCACTTCTGTTTCTCCGTCTGGTTATGTGGCCTGTATTTACTTTTCTGGAGAATAGTTTGTTTATAGCAAAGAGAAGAAGCCATCTGTGTGAGCACAGTGGAAATGACTGAGTATTTTTCTGTCCTCCTGGTAATACACAGCCAAGTCTCTGACATCCTGGAAGAGGAAACAATGTTTACCAGGCCAGGACAAGGACTCCCTGACTAACCATTTACACATCATTACAGATTTAACAGCTTTCCCTGTTTGAAATAGAAGAATGTGTGCCTAATCACCGCTGTACTTTTCCTCCAGGGCCTGCTGTGTAAATAAGAACATGCTCCACAGGTTGTCTGAGTGAAAACATGCTGTTATTAATCCTGTTATTGTATTATTTTTGGGCTGGGATGTGGGACTGGGCAGGGAGGCAGTCAGGATGAGGCAGCAAACAGGGGAGGAGAAGGAGAAGGAAAGGGTGATGGAGGAGGAGGGTGGACAGAGTGTTCACCTGAAACCCTCCAGTTATTTTTGTTCTGAACTAGGATTTTTATTTGGTTTTATGGATTTTTACACAGGAGTGCCAGACAAAGGTAAGGGGTCCCCTCTGGTACAAGCTTCACGAAGAGGACGCTTTATGGCTCTAGAGGCATACATATAAAAACACACAAACACATATATGCAGACCTGCAGGAGCAGACATGAGACTGCTTATGTCTCCTGTAACACAAAATGTAGCTCTACTGTGAAAGTGAGAGGAACATATATGAACAGTAGATGTCATTGAAATATATTACATGTTTGGTAACAGGCTCATGTGGAGTTTTTGGAGAACTTGTGTGGACGGTTGACCCCTACAGTTTATTACATCTTGTACAACAGACCAGAATACAATAAGTCTCCGTAGCCAGTCATTCCTTCAAGGGTTATAATAAGCCTTGCATTTTGATAGTACTTGGCAAAAACATCTTTGTGTTACAGTAAATGTGATTAAAGAGATGTAAGTGCATCAGGTGCACTTCCAAAGATATTTTCTAACAGCTGTCCAAGCATTTATTTACTTACTTACTAACTTAAGTACTTATTGTTATTTTTGAAATTTGGAATTAAATGCGATCTCTCTCCAAATCATAGCTGTTTGGAAAAAGATGTTGCTCAATCAAGATGTGATACCAAATCATCTTAGCATCATCTTATTGTATTACATACAAGTTTTATTTCAGAGCTCTTTTTACTGCAGTGCACACTCAATGCAATACTCACACAGCACAGTACAAACAAGCCCACAAACCTTCTGTGGTTATAAACACAGTCTATTTGTTAATCAAACTCAGAAAGGAGATAAGAACAAACAGTTAAGTGTGCAGTAAAACCTCAACACTGACAATAACATTATTTTGTGTTATGTAAATAGCATCTATCTAAACTTTATCAAGGATATTACTGCTTTCAGTGCTTATGCAGAGAAATAACCGATGGACATAAATTGAGATGTACAATGAGACAAGAAGTGTCAGTAAAGTTTGTCAATTTAGAAAAACAAGATGTGTGCTCTTTCTTATTGCCTTTACATCTGTATAAGACATCCTGACCTGCAGCAAGGCAGTAACTAAGATGCAAATTTAAGGTCAGTTAACAGAGTTTGGTCACTTGTCATGGAGATGGATGTGTTAATATCTGAGCTCAGACAGTCTTCAGTTTGGAATGTATTTGTCAAGTTACTATTTCAAAGGTCGTAAATGAACTTTGATGTTTACCATGGTGAAAAAAGTATCAGAGCTTAAAAGATAGAAACACCATAAGATAGAAATATTCCGTAAAAGTAAGTCTAGTATCCAAAATTTCATGTAAGTGAAATACATACAAGCTTACAATGAAGGAAAAGGATTTTCCCCCAAAACATAATAGAATACATATAAAGCTGGATTAGCGGGCTAAAGTACAAAGATCTCCAAATTAAGTACAGTATTTGAGTAAATGTAATTCAAACATTTGATGTTTGACAGTTTAAGTGTCTGTGATTCTTACTGTAATGCTCTCATATAGGTCAAAATTTTAATATGAGTAGTAATACCTGTCTTGTTAAAAGCATAAAAAATACAGTATTAATTTGGTTAAACGAGGGCGACACAGTGTGGCCATGAATGGTAATAATAACCATTAAAAAATTGAGCTAATAAATGTATAATTTTCAGTTGATTTCCAAGCTATATCCGAAAGTGGCGAATTTTCTATTGCTGTACGTGGTCTTGACTCTTGTTTTTTGTTTTTTTGCTTTAGTAAGCAGTGTGACGACACTCACAGTCGACAGGACTCCCAGTAACTTGGGCTGCCAGTCATAGATACACACAACTACATATCAGAGCAGGAAGAGATGGCCAACTTAAAGACGTTATGTGTTGGTAACTTGGTATTTATGCTTGTGTTCGTGCTGATTTCAGCATTTGTCTTCGCCGATGCTTCTTCTGAACAGACGAAGACGGTGGAATTCAACGTAAAGCCGGGAGGAGTTGTGCACACCTTCACAGAGGGGATTGTAAGTGAAGTGAATATTCTCGTTATTTTACATAATTGATTTACACGTTTAATGCCACTGGACACATAGCTGCAGTTATGCTAAATCAAAATGTTTACCATCCTCAGAGAGTTTGAATGCAACTAATCCGCTTCTCCGTGTGTGTTGTTATTCGCTTCATTGTTATGGATTAGTCAGTAGTGACACACGTCATTTTTTATAACAGAGTTACACACGCCATTCTTTTTATTGTGCATGTACTGGCAGGTTTTTAATATACTGCGCCATATGCTATATATAAGAAAAATGTAAGTAACATAAGTGGAAAAACTACATTCCGATGATCATTTGTAGTCGCAGTGTGATGACGACACAGCCAGTGAGAGGCTGACACGTCGCTGTCAGATTGCCACAGCGGCTCCGGTGATTGGCTGCCATCTGAAGACCTACCATGCTCGTGAAACTGGCACACTTAAATGAAGTGCAACCGTGTATGATAACAATATTTACACATCAGCTTTTTACTAGAACGTCAAACCATCTACTGTGAATTTATGTTTATGTTAAACACTCAAATGGGAGCTCCTTTTTATCTTTGTGCAAAATGAGTGGTTTTAAAGTACCAATCTGTAGACACATCTGTTTGGCACAAATAGTTCGTAGATTAATGGAAACTGTTATTGTGTTTGATTGGTAATGAATATAATATGCAGGTTTAACTTTGTACTAACTAGCACTGTTACACTTTATGTTTCAGGGGGAGTATGAATGCACATTCACTTATGCTTCACAAGGGGGAACCAATGAGGTGAGTTTTTCACCGTTGATCATTTACTGATTCATCATATTATTGATTTTTAATCACAGCAAGTTTTAGGAATAAATATTCTTCTGTTTTTGTGCCAAACAGCAATGGCTCATGAGTGTGGGCCTGAGTGATGATGACAGACTCTTTTCCTGCTCTGTGTGGAGGTGAGACACACACACACTCTCAGCTCAGTGATGTTCAGTTTGTCACCACTGAGCATCTGTTCAATATGTCTCTGTTTCCACAGTCAGTCGCTGACTTGTTCATTTTGATAGCCGCAGAAGTGAAATAAAATGACAAAGTTTCGAAGTTTCTCATGATTTAAATGTATTCATGCCCGAAAGCAAATGACTTAAAGTTGGCAACAAATATTTTTTAATTTCTTTTTTACTTCTGCCAGGCCTCAGGGGAAATCATACCTGTTTTTCACTCAGTTCAAAGCTGAACTGAAGGGAACCAAAATTGAATATGCCAATGCCTATGTAAGTATAAAGAAACATGACTCTCAACTGTTAAATGCAAATGTTGTCTGTCCTGTTCACAGGAATTCATCCTGTTCCTTAACAGCGGTTGACTTTTGCTTGTTTTTGCTATTTTATTGGGTTTTGGGGGGCCCCCCCCCCCCCAACTGCTGCTGAATGTAATGTAATAAAATGAATCTAACCTAGCTCAAACCATGCAAAATAGGAATTAAGGTGACCATACAATATAAAACAAATATTTAACATGGCTTGTATATCAGGATGTGAAACTGTCAGTTTGCGTCATTGTTAATGCAAAGCTCATTCAGTTATAGCAGGTTTAAGCATCGCTGCACAGTGGAACGGTGCACCACCACTCCTGAGTCTGCTAAATCTTCCTGCAGGTTTTTTGCAGTCAAATGGGGGTTTTGATTTGTCTTTCTGACCAGCATACGAGCAGTTCTGTCCGAGAGTTTTCTTGGTCTTCCAGATCTCATCTTGACCTCCACAGTTCCCCTGATCTGCCATCTCTTAATTACATTTCTTACTGTGGAAACTGCAAGCTGACAACGCTTTGCTATCTTCTTGTAGCCTTCTCCTGCATTGTGGGCATCAATAACTTTCATTTTCAGGGTCTTACACAGCTGCTTAGAGGAACCCATGGTTGCTGGGTGTCCACAAGTGTGTGCACAAGGTTTGAAGAGTCAAGGTATTTGTACAGCTTTGAAATTGGCATTTACCAATGACAGCTGTTGCTGTGCATCAGATCTACCGAGCTGATTAAGGTCTGAAACCTTGTGAGAGACTTTGAGACTCTGGAACTCTTAGGGTGCCCAAACTTTTGCACCATGCCATAATCATGTTTTTATTTTTTATTTTTGTTCAATTTATGGCATAAGAAGTAACTATGCATCACTGTTTGCAGAAAATATTGTGCATTTTTTCCATTTCCAAGAGAAACTGTGTTAACATCTGTTCAAATAAAAAATCACCAAAATCTGTTATTTATCAAGGGGTGCCTAAACTTTTGCATAAGACTGTAACAGCGATAAGGACAGAACTTTTACATCTGTGTCTGCCTTGTTTTCTGAGTAAAGGTAATCAAACATATGCTAACTCAAACTTATAACCCCAAATTCAGTGCAGGTCCAACTTGTTAAATACTAATGTATCCCCCAACTACAGTAGTGCGTAGTTGTAATTTGTTGGAAGCCAAATCACACCAACAGCAAAAAAAACTTCACAGGACTTTACTACCTAACATTGTCAAACTGTACTAAAGGCGTTTTCCTTGATATGACCCCGCTGTGTCAGGCCCCCTGTCAGCACAGAGATGAAAGCTTCTCATTCTGAGCCCATATAAATTTAGAAGGTAGATTTTACAGTGTCTGCACAAATGTCGGAATATCAAGGCAAAATATTGTTGACAAACATTTTTGCATAGCCTGCAACTTAAGCACCATCCTCCTGTGCACCAGCAATACATTTATCAGGGTAAGGGGGAAAACTGACGGCAAAATTTCCTGCAGTTTCTTAACTTTGCTCTTCAAGACTGCATATTGTAGCTGGTGTGTGATGGATATCGCTGTCACCATGTTGTCTTGGTCCGTCACATGTAATGAAAGAGTTTATTGGTTTGCCACTGTGGGCCTTTTTCCTAGATATCCATATGTGTATGCTTGTAACATTTATATATAACTGGAGGTCCACTGCCACCAAATTCAGTCAGACCAATGTCTCATCAAACGCACTGAGATCTGGAGGCATTTCAGTACAGATGCAGTTTCATCATCAGTTAATGTATTGCTTGTTTTTTTTTTTGTTTTTTTTTGATTAAGCAATTATTAGCTTTGTTCATAAAATGTGCTCAGTTGTTTAAAAATGTGCATCTCATTTTCCAGCAGCCCAAATAGACCTCTAGAAATGTCTTGTTTTGTGCGATCAGCAGCCCAAAACCCAAAGATATTCAGTTTACATCGATGTAAAACAGACAAAAAGCAACAAATACTCATATTCACAGATTGTTTCAGCTCTAAATTTAAGCACGAATGTTAAAACGAATGAGAGTTGGCAGTTCGAATACAGTTACACTTTGGACCTATCTGTTGCTTAACCTCTAATACTCATGTCTCCATGGAAACCCATCATGTGCTCCACATGTTCCTGTACATTTTTAGATTCATTGTCCTCTAATGATGGTTTGAGCTACATCCCAGCTAGTGCCAACTTTGACAAAGCAACACAGGCAGAGACAGTCAAAGTAGCAAAAAAAACTTTATTTCTTCTGGAAGTCAAACTCAGAATTGCCGTGTCTTTGCACATAATGTTTCCTGGAAGGTTAATGTCTCGACTCTGTCTGAGCTCAGTCACTTAGCGGAGGTCTGACGTGTATGATGTGGTTGTCGGTGAAGTGAAGCACACCTTGACACGCTTCCTTTCCCCAAGCAAGGACAGTCCTGACACTCTGTCATTAGTGAAAGCGCTTGTTTTCTCCTCCTGCTTTGGCTCCTTGCCCTGCAAGTAAAAAGCAAATGCACAGAAAATAACTTCTCTAAATGATGGGACGAGACTAACCTGGAATACACAAATAAACACACCTGCCACCCCCACACAGCATCTCCTTGACCTTGTCGTCACATCCTCCTACTTCCCTGGCCCATCTGTTGCAAAAAATTGTCCTCTCCTGTTCCGCCTCTCATATTGTTTTGTTTGTTTTTCTTTCTTTCTCCTTGTTTCTTTTCCTCTCTTCCTCCTCCTCTTCACTGTTGCTGTATTTGTCTCTAGTCACAGACAGCAGCAACAGGACAGAGTGACGTGCCTTTGAAGCCAGAGGAATTTACCATAGGAGACACAACAGGTGAGAAATTGATTGTATTTCCAAGTGTTCAGTCAGCCCCCTCTGCTCGCCATGTCAATCTCTTTTTCACTCTCACTCTCTGTCTTTCTCTGCCTCCCTCTGTGACTCCATCATGTTGCAAGTTCCCTGCTGATTTTCCTCTAAAGCATATGCTCCAGATGTGAGTGGGTTGCTATTTGTCCCTGTAGCATTATTTGTTGTTATTCAGTTTCTGCACAGATCCCCACTGTGGCTTCAGTTCCAGACTGTGATTAGCAGGATTTGACAAGTCACACTACACGCCAATTTACTGTAACTGCCATTTTCAGCAGATTAGGTACTACAGTGCAGAGGCTTACAGACTCCAGGCCCACCAACTATCACAGACTTTAGGATGATCTCTTATATGGAAAACTCATCATTTCTAGGCCTCATAGTATTACAGTAGATAAATGGCTTTTTAGAAGGAAAGTATGTCATCAAACTGGCTCACAAACTAAAAATATTGATTTTTAGTAGGCTCTCTTCAAGAGGAGCTGTTTAGCCACTGACAGATGGAGGATTGGAGGAAAGAAAGTCTTAAGTTTCCCTAATTCCTCTCTCTTATTTTTTTCTTGCGCCTTATGTTTGCAGGGAAACATGAATGTATATGAGACTTGGGATGTACTGATGGACAATGTGACAGCCCCCAGAAGCGAAGCCACCACAAGTCGATCCCCCCCCCGGTAGCTGGTTGCAGTATAGGTCATAAACCCCGCCACCCTCATGTGAGCAGATGGGACATGAGCCAATCAAAAAAATTCAAAGATGGCTGCCCTCCAATTTGCGAAATTTTAGCTTCAGAGCCGGAGAAAGTAATAGTTATTGCTTTTATAACATTTGTTCCACGTGGGTACCGCATGCTGGCCCCTTTCATGATTCAGCATTGAATTTTAGAGTGATGACTTGGTTTAAGGTTGGGGTAAGCTCTGAAATCCATGTGAGTCAGTGTTAACTCCCCATTCTCTTGCTCTTTCCACTCATTGCTAGACGTTATGTTGAGCTAGGCTAACTCGCTGCACAGAAATGAGATGGATATCACTCTTCTCAGCTCAGTCTTTCAGTCTAAAATGCCAAACTATTCCTTTAACATTTTCAGCCACATGAACATTGGACAAGTGCTATTGGACTGTGGAAATAATTACCATTCAGCTCTGCTAAAAAAAATAACAGATGTTTGTGAATTAATAAAGTAACATCCATGTTCATATTGAAATATTAAGGCCTCTTTGGTCCAAAATAATCTGAAGATAATCAGTGAGCAGGTTGAACACTAATGTATTCCTTATTCAGCAGAATATGGGCTCATTTGAATGGAATTATTGAAGTTTTCAGGTCAAATGTGCGAAGCATTCAACCAAAAGAAAACAAATGCAGCTGTAGCACTCATTGCCTGCAGGTGGCACAAGTGTCACAATTGCAGCAGCTGTTATTGTCCTTATCTGTAGATGGCATACATCTATGTGTGTAGGTCTGATCTCTGCTGCTATTACTATATTTGCCAATATGCAGCACAGGCTGGACCGAACCGGCAGGTGTGAGAGTGCTGCCTCTGCAGCCCTGTGGTTAGATGATGCTGGATGGGTTCAGGTGCTTTGCATCACTCACGCAGCGTGTCCTTGTTTTTGTTTTAAATCATGTCAGTGACAGTAATTAACTCTCTCTTCTCACTTCTAGTGACCCATAACGATGGAAAGTTCAAAGCTCAACTCTCCAAACTGACCGCCATCGGACGGACACGACACGTCGAGCTGTAACCTTGGTCAGGCTTTGACCAGTCAGAGCAGCTTGGTGAGCTCTGAGTTGGGCCTCTGTGTTTCAGCTCAGAAGTCGGTGAAAGATGGATATTGATTTTGCCTTTGTGTGTCAGTAGATTAACTAACTGGTATTTTCTTACCACAGCAGATTCGTGCTACTTGGGATAAAAAGAATAAAACAGTGAGGTTTCCAGACACATAATGTCCTGATTAAAATTCTGCCATTAGAAAAAGTGCTTCCATAGTTGTTTGTTAATATGTGAGGATATAAGGTTTACAGATAATAAATCTGCTCTGATCCAAAGGGAATGTATGTGAATATATAAATGATTGGTGTCTGGGGGCCACTAGAATATAGATAACGCATTTAGAGTTGGGACAGGATTTATCCATCTTGTGTAATCCTGAGAGGAAAGTAAGTAATACCCAATATCGTCATCTCCCCCACATAAAAAAATGACACTTTTCTCTGTTTCATTCTGTTGTGAACTGTTGTTAAGTTGAATGCCTCAGTTTCTGTCTCCATTTCTCTGTTGGTTTTATCTTTATCTGTCCCTGATCACTGCAAGCTCCACATTTGATCGCCCCCACATCATAAATCAGTGCTATTTGTGATAAGTTTTTGTTTGGTGCTTTTTTTGGCCATAAGTAATGTTTTGTAGTAGAGCGGATACCAGCTTCATGGTATTATGAGAACAATATACAGGATACACTGAGGAATATAGATGGAAGTTATTGTTACTAGAAAACTAGGGAACTGTGGAGCTCACAAAGGCCTGAAAGATGTTTTTCATCTTGTACATACAACTCAACATACAGTAGTTCTTCCACACCAGAAAGGCTTACAGACATGTCAGATCACACAGTCTGACTTGGATAAAAGAAAACATCATTGTTTGGGACATGGGGGAGGAAATAACTTGAATTATTTAAACCATGTAGGAAATAATATCACTTTCATCCATAAAGTCCCTTATTTCCTACATACTCTCTTAATATTACATTATTTTAGTTGTTGTTTTTAGATTACTTGATGATTATATCATGTAAAATTTGATTAAAAAAGCTAAATTGCCTGGTAGTGAATATAGAAGGAAGATGCAGTCACGTTTCTGAGCCCTTCTTCAACCCTTTGCTTTCATCCTTCAGTGGTGCATGTGTGGATCAGTTAGGATATTGTGCAGGTTTCAATAGTACGTCATTATTTTAGGTCCCTCTCCTCCTTCTGCTCTCTTATGTAGCAAGCCGGATTGCCTTCATCTTCCTTACATTGATCCAACCCTCTTAGATCCACACAAGTGTCCAGAGGATGAGTTCTGGGGATTGATTTCAGATATGAGGACTGTGCTGATTTGATTTTGCGGTCTGATTACTTTCTGAGGTTTTCGTACCTTGTTTGGTCTGGGTCTGTTTAGAGACGATCCTCTGGAGCTGAACGAATGCTCAGCTGGGATGTTTATATGTCCCCTTGCCACCATTGAAGCTCCCTCTGGGATCACTCCAGGAAATAATCGCATCCAGATCCTGACCCAGTATAAAAACACACACATACACACACAAGACGTTACTTATTTTGTACCTTTCTTTTTTTTCTACTTGATCTTGATTGTTCTGGCTCATGACGAAATGTGATGGATGTTTCAATAAAGACATGTTGTCACTGTTCTGGAGATAACTCAGTGTTTTTTTGTCTTGTTATGTCAGTCGTGATCTGATTGAGCCTCCCACCGCCTCGTTAGGGTAAACATGAAAAGACAGGAGAAATCTGAGTGCCAGCCTGGAGGCATTAAATATTCTGAGCAGTGTCAGAGCTGGGCCACAGTGAATGTGGCAGAGAGCATTTTTATACCCTTGCTGTATCTGTCCAAAACAACAGTAATTTCAACACCACAACTAATGTATTCTTAATTTAAACTCTGCTTGTGTGCAGCAGAAAAAAAGACAGGCTCTTAGCATAAAATGAGTCTTCATATGAAACTATAAAATGTTATTAAAATTTGGTTTCAAAACCTATTCTCTGTTCAATTAGCATATATCGTCCTCTGATAAATGCTTCCATGAGATAAAGAGCTTCCATTGTTTGGGGAGAAAGGCTTTGCAGAGAGGAGCTACTCAATCCAGAGGCACATATGGGAATGTATAGAGCATTGATTTTTGGGGCTTACAGATAGAGAGCCAGGAGGGAATTATTCATCTTTTAAGTCAACAGAAAATTATTAATCTTTTTCAAATTGGCATCAGTGGCTTGAATTCTATGAAGCAAAAACTACACATAATTTTTAGCAAAATACAGCCATGATGACACATCTGAATTTTATGTAGAGAAGAGCTGTTGTGTAGTAGCACTCTGGCAGAGGTTCAACAAGACCACGACAAGCTGTGCCAAGAAACTCCCACGGAGTCACCTACTTGTAATTAAAGCATGTTTTGGCAAAGCTGTGACTATTTCAGGCTCATTTCCAGTTTTCTGGTCTTCTGGAAAAACGTTATTGTGCTACAGAGATTTAATGAGTCTCTGTAGCAAAATAGGTTTTTGTTTACCATCAGTTCCTCAGTCTCTGAGACTCAGAGCTGCCACTATGCTGTCATCCAGACACTAAGTATACATAACTAGTGTTCATATCTGGTACCAGCAGAAGTGTTTACTTTGAACTTTCATAGTTCGACCATCAGGACAATATATAGGCTCAGTCTTGCAGAAGCTAGCTGATGTGTGTGTGCATTAAACTGTTTTGAACAGAAACATTTTTGCCATGCTAGCTGGTCATTAGCTCTCTTAATTCTTTTACACAGACATTCATGGGACCCAGAGTGTGAATCCAAAGTCCAGAAGAAGACATTTACAATAAA